TTTTTTTTTTTTTTTTTTAAAGAGGCCTTGCTGTGTTACCCAGGCTGGTCACAAACTCCCGGCCTTTAGCGATCCTCCCACCTCATCTTCCGAGTAGCTGGGACTACCTGGTACTACAGGCGTGCACCATGGCACCCAGCCATATCGGGCTCTTTCCGTAGCTTTTTCACTTAATAGGTTCCAATCTGGGCCCTGGCTTCCACCTCTGGGGCCTCCTTTGCCAAGTCAGGTACATTGCAGGGCTGGTGGGGGGGCTTCCCTAAATAGCCTTTACTGGACAGAACCATGAAGTATGCCAGGAGTTAGGATGGGATACCCAGCTCTGTCGCCTTGGCAGGTCATGTTCCTCTCTGTGCCTCGGTTTCTTTCTCCATAAAATGGGAATCCAGACTCAGGAAGCTGAGAGCCATTTGGGCTAGCCATGTAATGGACTGGTGGGAGGAGATGGTGAGCGCTACAGTACTCTAAGCCGGGGGATGCCTCGTGGTGTGTGTGTGTGGGGATGCTGTAATTTTGACTCCAGGATGAGATGGTAGTGGGCTCCCTGCCGTCCTTCACTCTTTCCCATCCTCTCTCTCCAGTGACTACCTGTTTAAGCTGCTTTTGATTGGCGACTCGGGCGTGGGCAAGTCTTGCCTACTCCTGCGGTTTGCTGTGAGTAAGAAACCTCTTGTACCATGCCTATGGGGTCCTAGCTGGCGGCTGGGGGGAGAAGGGCCACCCAGAGCACAGTAGTTGCAGGACCTGCCAGCGACACATCTGAACAAAGGCCCAGGGCTGACAAGTTGGGGTGCCGAGAACTGGGGCTTGACAGGAGCCAGACTGGGGCCGGGAGCTGGAGGAGGGCTTTCCAGATGGACCTCGGCTCATTCACTCAGACCATTTCCCTGGTCTCTGACTTTCCAGGATGACACATACACCGAGAGCTACATCAGCACCATCGGGGTGGACTTCAAGATCCGAACCATCGAGTTAGATGGCAAAACCATCAAACTACAGATCGTGAGTGTCACTCTTCCCAAACCCCCGGTGCAAAGGCACCTGCCTCAGAGGGAAAGGGCCGTGGGCGTGTGGAGCCAGGGCTGACCTGCGTACTGTCTCGTAGTGGGACACGGCTGGTCAGGAGCGGTTCCGGACCATCACCTCCAGCTACTACCGGGGGGCTCATGGCATCATCGTGGTGTACGACGTCACCGACCAGGTACTCCTGGACTAGCTGTCCTCTGCTGTGACGCCTCAGCCTGGCAGCTTTGGCTCTTGCTTTTTTTCACTCCTCTCCGTTTTGATGGAAAGGAGACTGGACTTGATTTCCCAAGGAGGGAAACAGGCATGGAAGCGGATCTTCCCAAGGCCCTCCTGCAGGTCTTGGCAGGAGCAGGCCTCACACCCCCTCACTGCCAAACTTGCTGCCTTATTGTAGACCTTCTGGGCACCTGCGCGATGTGGGGGTTTAGTCAGCTGCTTGGCCGCTGTGCGGGCCCGCGGCTTCCTGTGTGAAGACGCTGGGGTGAGGGGAACGATTAGGGGGCCTTACACAAGGAAATGAGGGAACCCTGCACTCTGGGCCCAGTATGAGCAGGTCCAGGAGCCCTGTGTCTCCTGTGGCAGCCCTCGTCACATGTCACTGGCAGCCGTGGTGGTGGCAACAGCCAGCTTATAGAACCTCACGGTTTACAAAGCCTGTCACAGCCTTCAGATCACCCTTTGATGCTCGTAAGAGGTCCGTGTTATGTTCCCATCTTACAGATGAGGAGTTGGGTTCAGGATGGTAAGGTGGCTTGTGAGGGTCCTCCAGCTATCCCAGTGTCAGAGGCAGAAAGCCTGTCTGCTGATTCTGTCAGCTTGGTTTTTTTTAACAAACTATGTTGCTTAGTGGGGGCCGGGCTCTGGGGACATACAGAAGCTTACATCAGCCTGGGCAGGCGAGTCCCTGTCTCAGGGACAGCTGGGCTCTTTGGCTCACCAGGGACTCATGATCCCCGCCCCCCACCCCCACCTACCCAGCTCTGAGCAACAAGCTGTGGGTGAGCTGTGTACCACCCAGACAGAGGTCACCAAGGCCCTCCTGACTGCCAGATCCAGTGACCTCATTCAGCTCCACCCTGATTGACCTCTCGTGGCTTTTAACTCCATGCTCCTCTCTTGCCTTGAAACGTTGCCTGTTCCCAGCTCCAGCACCTCTGTGGCGTTTGGTTCTGTCTCCTCGCTGTGCGTTTACTGGTCCAGCCCGTGCTGCCCCACAACCCCGTCCTCGTGCTCCCAGACTGCCCCTTGCTCTCCTCTCTGCTCCCCTGCACAGGCCCGGCCCCTCTCTTGGCCTCTGCCTTCTGTTCCGATTCCCACACCTAAACAGCCGTCGCCGTGGCTTTCCTCCTCTGTCCCTGTCTGTACTGGCACTTTGTGTCTGTATTAAATACCAACCTTCATGATCTTCCCAGTGAACTAAACGGTGGGTCTGTGTTTCCCGATGAGGAAACTCGCTGAGAGAGGTGTGAAGTACTTCGCCCCGTCTCACAGTCAGGAAAGGCAAAGCTAATGTTGGAACCGGGGTCCTTGGCCTCTGAGTACATCGTTGCCTGCCCTCAGGGAGCCTCACCTGAGCCCCAGACCATCTGCAGAGCCCAGATGTCCAGCCTGGCCTCCCTGCTCCTCCCCAAACCAGCACTTGAATCCGCGTCTTTGTAACAGAATCCCTGTCAGCCTGACCAGAAAACTGCTCCCTCCCCCATCTAGTCAGTCTCAAGGCCCCTCCATCCTGCTCGTCATCTTCCTCCAATCTGTCCCCTCGTAATAATAGCAGTGATGAGGATAATAGCAGCTCTTGCTAATTAAGCACTTGTTATGAGACAGCCATTCATTCTCTCCCTCTCACAACAGCCCTGCTGGGAGGTACTGTGTTGTAGAAATGAGGAAACTGAGGCTCAGGGAAGTCAGGTGACATACCTACGGTCGCACAGGAAATGGCTGAGCTGGAGCTTAACCCAGGCTGGTCTGACTCTAACTCTGCACTTCCCTGGCTTTGCATATCTTCCATTCCCTGGATCATTCCAGCCATAGCTCAGCTGTCTCCATCTTGCTGGTCTGATCTGACCTCTGCCCTCCTGCCAGGATTCTTTCCAGAACCCTGGTGTGATCTTGCTGCTCCCTGCCCGAGGAAACATCCACTGGCTCCTGGTTGTCCAGGACTCAACCAGACTAAGAGTCTCGGTGTCTGGCCTACTCCTCCCTCTCCGTCCCCGCCAAGGGTCTCATTCCAGCACATTCCACGTCTCACCCCTCAGAGACACTGTGCCCTTCCCACTCTGTGACTTGGCACGTGCTCTCCTCGGCTGGCCCCCACGTATACGAGGCCCGTTCCGACCTGCAGGCTTAGGTCAGCTTTGGGCCCCTCAGGCAGAAGCGATCCTGGAACTCCCAGACCCGGCCTTCTGTCCTGTCTTGCCATTGGGTATGTCCTGTTCTGTACCTCTGTTGTCCCCTGAATGCCTGCAGGCAGGCCCGGGTATCATTTCCCTCTGCGTTCCCAGTGCCCAGCAGAGAGCCCATCCTGGGACGTGACAAGAGGTGTAAGTTGGAGCCAGTGTGAGATCACCAGGCCTCCAGCTCCCAAGACGGAAGTGACTGTGTCCTGAGCACTTTGCTAGAAGTCCTGTCCTTTGTGTGTATGGGACATAGACTGCTGGGAGAGTCTGAGGCTGAGTGACTGTCAGGCTGTTGCTGCCAGAAGTAGGGCAGATGTTAGGGTATTCCTGGGATGCCACCATACCCGTGCTTCTCAAGGCCGGGACCTGCCACCTCCCCTGCACTCCATGGCTTCAAACCTTAGAGGGATGTGAAGGCCCCTGTGGGAGCTTTGGGATTCTTGTGACCCTGTCACTCTCCTTCCTGGTCTCCTCTCTGATGCTGTTTGCTCCCATTTGTGGTTACAAGTAGAACCAGCTGCTGGACGCAGAGCTGGGCCTGGGCAGCTGTTGAGGTGTTGGGGCTGCCGGCAGGCAGCTGGGACTGTAGTGGGCTTGGCTTTCGGGATCCCGGCCCAGAAAGGTCAGGCAGGAAAGCTTAGCCTGGAGCAGAGGACTTAGTCTGGACCCGGAGCCCAGAGCTTCTGCCTTCTCGGGATGCAGGGTAGCCCCTTCCCCTCAGAGAAGCCCTTGTTCTCCAGGCTTGGGGCAGAGGAGAGAGTAGGGTGCAAAATCCCTTTGCCCTGGCACTCCTAGGAGTCCTACGCCAACGTGAAGCAGTGGCTGCAGGAGATCGACCGCTATGCCAGCGAGAACGTCAACAAACTCCTGGTGGGCAACAAGAGCGACCTCACCACCAAGAAGGTGGTGGACAACACCACGGCCAAGGTGAGTGGGCCTGGGCCAGGCTGCCCAGGGTGGGCGGGGCCCGCTGCCCTCACCCTTCTCTCCCCTCCTTCTCTCCTCTCCCCTTGCCAGGAGTTTGCAGACTCTCTGGGCATCCCCTTCCTGGAGACGAGTGCCAAGAACGCCACCAATGTCGAGCAGGCGTTCATGACTATGGCTGCTGAGATCAAAAAGCGGATGGGGCCGGGGGCCGCCTCGGGGGGCGAGCGGCCCAACCTCAAGATCGACAGCACCCCTGTGAAGCCGGCTGGTGGTGGCTGTTGTTAGGAGGGGCAGTGGAGTGGGACAGGAGGGGGCGCCTTCTCCAGATGACGCCCCTGGAGGGGGCCGGAGGGTCTGCCCTCTCCCTCTCCTGGGGCATTTGAGTCTGTGGCTTTGGGGTGTCCTGGGCTCCCCATCTCCCTCTGGCCATCTGCCTGCTGCCCTGAGCCCCGGTTCTGTCAGGGACCCCAAGGGAGGCCACCGAGGACCTGCGGCTAGGGCGGGGGCGGGGGTTTGCTCGCTGCTGCCTCTAGGTAACGTTAAAAGATGCCCACCACACACCTTTCTTTGGGATGAGGGCTCTTCTGTCTCTCCCTTCCCCTCCACCCCCTGGATGCTGCACTGGGTTTCTCTCCCTTCCCTTTTTCCTCTCTCCCCCATCCCTAGAACTGAGGGTCTCTCTGGCCTCTGCTGCCCTGGCTGCAGCCAGCACCTGGAGCCAGGAGTGTGGCCAGGGGATCCAGGACCTGGGAGAACCCTGGGCTGGATCTCAGGACGGGCATGGGGGCCACCGGGGCCCAGCAGCCCACCCTTTCCTCCCCTGGCTGCCTCCCTTCCGGCCCCTCCCACACTCCCAGCTCGAGCCGTCCAGCTGTGGTGGGGTCTGAGCACCTCGAGGGCAGGTAGGCGGGCAGCCGTGCTCGGCCTGTGTCTCGAGCCCAGAGGGAGCCTGCTCCTGCCGCCCCTGCCCTGCCAGAGCCAGGCCCATGCGCTGCCTGCCCACCGCGCCCCTTTGTCCCCATGGCAGGCGGAGGCGGAAGGCCCACCGTGCCAGAGGCCGGGCACCAGCCTTAACCCTGTCTCTGCCAGCTCCTGCTTTCCCTGAGGCAGCACACCTGGCTTATCCCCTTCATCCCCTGGCCTGAGAAGGCAGACCCCCGTCCCCTGTTGCTCCTCCCCACCCAGGATCCCAGCCCCCTGCCTCTGGCACAGCTGCTTCCTGCAGGAAGACAAGTCTTTGGTCTCTACCTAAGAAGCCATGTCCCTTGTGCTGTCTCTTGCCTGTCCCACCCCTGCCCCGCCCTCCAGCTTGTATTTAAGTCCCCAGGCTGCCCCTTGGGCTGCCCCCCACTCCCAGGTTCCCCTCTGGTGTCATGTCAGGCATTTTGCAAGGAAAAGCCACTTGGGGAAAGATGGAAAAGGACAAAAAATAATAATAAATTTCCACTGGCCCTCGGGTGAGCCGAGGGTTTTTGCAAGGAAGTTGTGGTGGCTGCGTGTGGTCTGTGATCTGAGCCCGGCCTTGGAATGGAACTGGAGCCTGGGCTGGGTGGGATGCACGGGGGTCCTGGCTTGGGTTCCGTGTCCTGGGGTTGAGGGCGAAAGCCCTTGACCCATTTACTGGGGCCGGGAGAGCTGCCTGCCAGTGCTTCTGTGGCCTGTCCCCAAGGGCCCAGCACTGTTCTGTCAGGGAGCGAGACGGACGGCCATCAGCGAGTACCTGGTGAGCAGCCGCCGACACCCACACAGGCGCGCGGCCAAGCTGTGGGGTGGGCAGCCGCCTGAGTCGGGACCCCGGGGCGCCGCAAGACGTGCCCCAGGTCCCCTCGCGCCTGGCCCGCGCGGCCCCTCATCCGCCCCTTCCCCCGGCTGCTGTCTGGCTCCCCGCCAGGCGTCTCTGCCCCCTCCCCCCGACAGTCGCAAGTGCGAGGGCGCTTCGGGCCTCTGGGCTCGGGCTCCCCGCGAGTGAGACGGCGTAGGGTGGGCGTGTGTGCCCGCCCCA